TAACTGGGGGCAGGGAGTGAGGGGTGGAGGGGGGTAACTGGGGGCAGGGAGTGAGGGGTGGAGGGGGGTAACTGGGGGCAGGGAGTGAGGGGTGGAGGGGGGTAACTGGGGGCAGGGAGTGAGGGGTGGAGGGGGTTTCTGGAGGCGGGTGAGGGAGGGGGTGATTGGGAATGGGGAGAGAGGGGTGATTGGGAGAGAGGGGTAATTGGGGACAGGGAAAGGGAGTAACTGGGGACATGGAGAGTGAAGGGTTTAACTGGGGGAGAGGGTAACTGAGGACAGGGAATGTGGGGGTAACTGAGGGCAGGGAGGAGAGGGTTATCTGGGGACAGGGAAGAGGGGTAACTGGGGGCAGGGAGGAGAGAGGTATCTGGGGACAGGGGATGTGGGGGTAACTGAGGGCAGGTAGGGTAACTGGAAGCAAGGATGAAAGATGTTTGGGTGCAGATAGATTGGAGGTTAACTGGGGGTAGGGGTGAGGGGTAATTGGAATTAGGGGTAACTAGGGACAGGGTGTACGATAAAAGGGAGGCACAGAGGGTGAGGAGGTAACTGGGGAAGGGAGTGAGAGATATCTGATGGTAAGCGTGTAACTGGCAGCATTGATGAAGAGTAACTGGGGCAGGAATTGAGGGGTAACCAGGACAGGTGTAAGGCGTCTTTGGTGGCATGGGTACCACTCGCCCTGGAGGTGAGGTGTGTCTGGTAGAGGGTACTGGGGGGGAAGGGGATGAGATGTAACTGGGGAAAAAGAGAATCTGTGAGTAAGTGGGTTAGGGGTAATTGGGGGAACATTAGGGTAACTGGGTGCAGAGGTGAGTGGGTAATCAGGCAAGGTGTAATAAGCAGGGGGTAATTGAGGTAAGGGGCTATCTTGGGAGAGGTGGAAATGGGGAGAAGGGAGGGTCAGGGTGGTGGGGATAGCAAGGACCGAGAGAGTGCATTAAGGATGTTCGAGGATCATGGTGGGGGTGGGGTTCAATGGGGAGAGTCGGGATATATGGGGAGAATGTTTACCCTGCTTTTGAAGTCTAGAATCTGGCACACAAGCTCAAGGTACAGGATTGGATTGCAAAAGATTTGTATGCAGATGCAGCAAATAATCATGAAAGCCAGGGGAATTGAATGCAAGAGTAGGGGGGGTGTTATGATTCAGTTATGCAATGCTATGGTGAGACTACATCTGGAGTACTGTGTACAGGACTGGCCACCATACATATAGAAAGATGTTAATGCATTGGAATCAGTTCATAGGTTTGCTAGGCTATTGAAATGAACAGATTGCCTTATGAAGAAAGGTTACACAGGTCAGGCTGTAACCTGTCGAGTTTAGAAGAGTCAGAGGTGATTTATTTGAAACAAGTTAAGCTCCTGAGGGGAAAGGATGTTTACTCTTTTGGGAGAAACTAGAACTAGGGGGTCAGGGTTTAAAACTGAGGGAATACCTGTTTAAACAGATGAGGAAGCTTTTTTTTCTCTGACAATTGTGTCTCTTTGGAATTCCCTTCCTCAAAAGGCAACGGATGCAGAATCTTTAAATATTTTTAAGGCAGAGGCAGATAGATTCTTAATTACCATGGGCACGAAAGATTATCGGGGAGGTGCAGGGAATTAGAGTTGAGATTAAAATCAGATCAACCATGGTCTTATTGAATGGGCAAGCATGCACCCTCTCTGTCCTTGCTATCCCCACTACTCTGACCCTCCATTCTCCCTATTCCCCTCTCCCCCAAGAAATCCCCTTACAAGTGCATTACACCTGCCCCATTACCCACTAACCTCTGCTCCCAGTTACCGTAACACTCCCTCAGATTACCCCAACCCACTTACTCCCAGATTCCCTCCTTCCTCTGTTACACGTCACCCCCTGTCCCCAGTTACACCTACTCTTGTTCTTTGTTCATTGGATAGACCATTTAGGACTGAGATGAGGAAAAGTCTCTTCAAAGGATAGTGAACCTGTGGAATTCTCTACCGCAGAATGCATTAAGATGGCGGTGAATCAAGGATGACAGTGAGGAAGCAAGAGAGGAGAGGGAAATGGAGGAACATGTTGAAACATACACACTTTGAGGGAGCTAGACAGGGCAGATATAGAGATGTTTCTGCTTGTGTGGGAGTCAAGGACCAGAGGACATAATCTCAGAATAAGGGATCACTTACTTAAGATAAACTTGAGGAGGAAACAGAAAAGCAAAGAACTGTAGATGCTGGAAATGAGAAACAAAATCAGAAATTCCTGGAAAAATTCAGCAGGTCTCTCAGTATCTGTGGAGACAAGGCAAGGCGGAGTTAACGTTTTGAACTGAAGAAGGGTCACTAGACTCAAAATGTTAACTCTGCTTTGTCTCCACAGAGATAAGGAGGAATTTCTTCCCTCAGAGGACACTGAATCTCAGGAATTCCCGCAGAGAGCTGTAAAGGCTGGATCCTTAATATATTCAAGGGTAGGATAGACAGATTTTTAAGCAATAAGGTTATGGGGAACAAGCAAGAATCAGTGTCGAGGATTATCAGATCGGCCAAGATCTCACTGAATGACAGAGTCAGGACTCAATGAACCAAGTGGCCTACTTCTGCTCCTGTGTCTTACAGGGAAAAGGTGTGAAGGGAGTGGGACAGTGGATGGAGGAGGGAGGTGGAGGGATGTCGGTAGAAAGGTGGGAGGGGAGGACGAAGAGGATGTGATCTTTCTGGGTGTCTGTTTTCTGTGTGTCTGAGTTAAGGTACCTGTGCCCCGTGTACACCTGTGACTAGGTGGTACAGTGTCTGCATGTGTTTATAAGTATATGAACCTGTTATGTATACACACAAACTGCTGGGGGGAGGGCTGTAGCTTTGAGCTTGTCTCTTGGAGCCAATATAGTAGAATGCTGACCTTAATTTTATTGTCCAGTTTCTGGAAGAGACAAGTACCCACAACCTTCTGACTCGATTGTGTGTGCTACCCACTGAGCCATGGCAGTTACAACGCAGGAAATGTTGTCAGCCTGAAACATTTTTTCTGTTTCTGTCCACAGATTCTGCCTGACCCGCTGAGTTTTTACAGCTTTTCCTTTGTTCTTGTTTCTGCATTTCAGAATCTGCAGTATTTTTACTGCTCAGGAAGTGCGTATTGGACCAGATTGTTTGAGGACAGTATATAGAACTTGATTGTCCCATTTTGAGTAATGAACTAATGTCGTGTAGTTCCTGACTTTTGTAACTTGATTTATTTTCTTCAAAGAAAATGGCCTTGAGTTTTCCTTTTATTGTTTATTTTTGGTGAAATTTGCCTAGAATCAGTGAAAATAGTGCAAAGACTGTGGAATTTTAAGCTTGTGTTTGCAACATTGTTTGCATTAGTTAGAAAAAAATCTCATGTTAGAAGCTAGACATGGCCCCAGATCAAATTGATCCTCACAAAACCAATGCAGTTTGCAGAAAACACCAAAACAACTGCAGATGCTGTAAATCAGGAAAAAAAAACAGAAGTTGCTGCAAAAGCTCAGCAGGTCTGGCAGCATCTGTGGAGAAAAAAAATCAGAGTTAACATTTCGGGCCTGGTGACCCTTCCTCAGAACATTCGCAACTGAATTAAGAATTCTGTCCAAAGTGAAAGCGCTACTTCACTGTCTTTTAAGGAAGTGCTGGTGGCCATATCAAAGCAGCGCTGTGCTCATTCCAGTTGCTGACTTGACTGTGCATTGGTTCCTCTGCTCATTGACTCTCAATCCTTGGCTCACGGCCACACTGATCCACTTAACATATGCCCAGAAAAACTAAAACTGGAAGGGATTTTTAATCTATATTTGCTTTAATAACTGTTTGAGATACAGCAGATAGGTAATTTGAGATGTGACATGTGGTGAGTGTTATAGGCTTGAGAGCAGTAGGTGGCTTTATACCTGTGGTTTCCAGAGCAACTGGGGGCTTCCTGATATCTGTTTGTTGTAAACTAATCAATAGAAATTGATTATTCTGATTAATTAACAAGCTATTTCTTGTTGTGCCATAGGATCAAAAGGCTGGTACAAGGATGTATCTTGGTCTTATTTGGTCTAGCTATTTATTAACTAACTCACTGGTTTTTTGCCTAAAGTACCAGATGCCGATTATTGAATATCATTAATATATTTTGGGGAAAGGGATTCAAAAACTGATCATACTCGGTATAAAGGCTGCAATCAATCCCATCTAAATGGTTCTGTCATGTGGGGGATGGAAAAGACAGCCTATATCAGTTTGAATGCAAATCATTTTACCGTTGATGTATTCCCTTTGGGGAAGGAGCCAGTGCTTTCTACTAGAGAAGGAACTGTAAGCAGTCAGTGTTTGAAAAGGGCAACAATACCTGATGATTTTGTAATTAAAAGAAGTTTAGATGGAGAGTTTTTGGTGCTTTGAGTACTTAAAGGGAAAGACCTATAGGACTGGTGTATTCAGTGTTATATGAAAACAAGGAAAATGTGTTCATGTAACACCTTGCCCTGTGTGTTATAATTAGCACTTATTTTTGCTGCGCAAGCACTTTTGTTACAAGGGAAAATGTGGCAACTAATTTCTGCACAGCAGCAAATGAAGCCAGTAACTTGAAAAGAAAGACTTGCATTTATATAGCTCTTTTTGAGTGTAGTTGCTGTTGGAATGTACGAAGTACTGCAGCCAATTTGTGTACGGCAATCTCCCACAAATCACGAGGTGATAATAACCAGGTAATTTGTTATTGTAATGTCGATCAAGCCAGGACACCAGAGATAAACTCTCCTGCTCTCTTTCGAAATCGCCGTGGGATGTTTTTCATCCACCCGTGAGGATAGGCTGAGCCCCAGTTGAAACTGAGACCTTGTGATTTGGAGGTGAGACCAGCGGAGCACCTGGTGAGAGATGTGTTGTTGATCTTATTTTCTTCGTGGTATTGGCTGGTGCTCAGTTTTTGCTCTGGATGGTGGGGGAGGTCTCTGACCTCTAAATGAAGGAAGAGTTATGAGAAGACCAAACTTCTCCGCTTGGTGAATTAGTAACTAGAGTTAGCTAGATTCAGACTTCTCAACAAAATATTAAGAGGGGCTGAGAGGCAGTATTTATGTAGAATTGTTGAAGCACAGATTGCTTTGCTTTGTCCCAGGAGGTATTTGAGGTAGAGATCATAAAAGATGCAGTCTTAGGAGAACACAGTATTGGGATTTAAAAAATTCTTTTATGGGATGTGGGCATCAGTAGTATTTATTGCCCATCCCTAATTGCCCTTAACCAAATGACTTGCTGGGCCATTTCAGAAGGCACTTAAAATTCAGCCATATTGATGTGGGTCTGGAGTCACATGTAGGCCACTACCAGGTTTTGCAGTGGAGGTGGTTAGAGGATGAGGTTGAGAGATTCACAATAAAGGTAACTGTGCATATGCATTTAGACTTGGACGTACCTGTGCAAAACTGTTTATATGCAGATGGGTGTGCATTTGTGTACATATGGGCACACTGTTGTGTTTGCTTGGGGACACGTGCTTTTCTATATCTTCTGTTTTCAGAACTGTAGTGTTTTTGGCAGGAGCTCAATACAGTGCAGTGGTAGAGAGTGAAACATGAGTGCTCTGAGTTAGTAAAAATCTGTATCTGTAGTCAACATTTTCAGTGAGCAATTACTGAACAGGCTCTGAATCAAAAGCATCTGTTAAAGCATTTGAAGGCTTAAATGTGACATGTTTCCTAGTTATATTGGTACCAGTCTGCTGAATGACAACGCCTTTAAGTGCTCACCGTGCAACACCTTTCAGTCACATTTGCTGGATTTCACCATCAGGTTGGTTTCATTGTCTCATTCTTTACAGCAGAACCAGGCCTAGGCCAGTGCTTCTCAAACCGTATCCCACTGTGACTCCAGTATGAGGCATGAAATTTAACATAACCCCTGAGTGAATACTGTGAGGGGGTGGGGAGAGATCTGTGAGAACAGATGTGGAGGGATGAGAATCCTGTCTAAGTGAGGGCCTGCCATTTAGTGTGGGATACATTTATTATAACCTGGTCAGAGCTCCACAGCAGCCATTACTGCCTCAGAGCCTGTGACCCCACTTTGGGGCCTGACCCCCACTTTGTGAATTTAATGGATTAAGACCCTGGCCCACAGAAAGGAAAAGATGAGGTTAAGTCATTGTCTCAAGCAGATCCACCTCATCGCAGCTGATTTATTTTAAGAATTGTTTTCAGTGCTAATATGTTAATTCTACTTGTGACTGGGAATTTTCAGGTTTAGCTGCTACTTTGATATCAGAGCTGAGTCATCAGATGCTGAACAGGCTGGGGCGCATTCTGCCCCGAAAGACAACAGCTATCCTCATTGAGATCTATAAAACTATGAAAGGGCTACTTAGGGTGGACATGGAGAAGATGTTTTACTTAGCTGCGAGAGCCATAGAGTCATACAGAATGTAAACGTCCCACCTGCCTGCGCTTGGCCCGTATCCCTCCAAACATTTCTTATTCATGTTCTTATCTAAATGCCTTTTAAATGTAGTAACTGTACCCACAGTCACCACTTCCCCTGGAAGTTCATTCTGTACATGAAGCACTCTGTGCGTAAAAAAAAAAAGCCCCTCATGCTCACTAATCCCAATGGAAGAGGTCGTAAATATCATAAAGTCACAATTTAATCCAGCTGGGAAATAGGATAAAGAAGTTTTTTTTTTCTGAAGAGTGTTTAGAAAGCAGAACTCAATACTAGAAGGCACAGATGCATGAAAGGGGATCAGGTAAACACACGAGGGAAAAAAGGATAGGTTGATAAGACGAGATGAGGTAAAGTGGAAGAAGACCCATGTGGAGAATGGACCTGATTGGCAGAATGGCCTGTTTCTGTGCTGCAGAAGTCTATGTAACTCTTCTTTCTCCTCCTCCCTGGCTGAATCTGCAGGTGGGCAGTCGTTTTTCAGCCGCAAGGACTCCATTCGATCTATCTACACATCCCTCCACAGTGAACTGCGCAAGTTGGCCACCACTGCACGGAATTCAGCGACAGGGGCCTCCCCGTATCTGGAAGAGCTCCTCTCCCACCTTTCGGAGCAGCTTTGCTTTTTCATTCAGGCTCGAATGGAAATTGCTGACTTCTACGAGAAGATGTATTCCCTCAGCACCCAGAAGTCCATCCACTCAACGGAAGTGGTGCATGCGCTGGAGGCGATTCTGCAGAAATACAGCTCCAGGTGAGTGGTAGACCCAGTCGTCCAAGCAGGCGTGAGCTGGACTGATGAACAAAGCAGAACCATAAGTGCTGAGCAGTGGAAGGTGAGGAGTCCTAGAAACAGTAAGGAAAGGAAAGCAGTTGTTAGTGGCTGAAGGGTCAATAACCAGAGGACACAGAATTAGGGGATTGGCAGAAGAATCAGAGAGGCGTTGAGATGACACAATTGTGATGATGATGTGGCTTCAAGAGGTTACTTTGTCCTGTTTCTTTTAAAGAGAGGTTTTGATACAGAGATGCAAAGCTGTCTAGTTGGGAAGCCAGTAAAGTAAACAGCTTGTGAGGCCTTGGGATTTTTTTGTTAAAAGTTGGAGCAATAGAAACCGCTTGGATGCGTGTGGCTAGCTCTCACAAACCAGGATTTTCAGTTTTTAGTTTTTTTAGCTTTGAGGTTCTGCAGCAGTTGCTGCAGTAAACGTCTCCTGGCTGCTATTGTCTCTTCAGTTTTCCCTTGATATTGTTTCTGTGTCTCTGGTGCTGGGTTGCGCGTGAGAAAATCTGATTTCTGAATTTGCCTTTTTGCCAAGGGTATATTGACTATATTGCTTTTCACAAGAGCTGGCATGGACTCCATAAGACCATAGGACTTAGAGTTGAAATAGGCCACTCAATCCATCGAGTCTGTTGTGTCATTCATTGAGATCACAGCTGACCTGATAAAGCTTAACTCCATTTTCTTGCCTTTTCCCATAATTCTTGATGCCCTCACTGATTAAAAATCTATCTCAGCCTTGAATATAATTAATGATCCAGCTGACTTTATATATAAATTTGTGGACAAGAGATGCAGGGGGAATGTGAGGAAGTGCTTTTGTGCACAATGAATTGTCGTGACCTGGAACTCACTGTCTTTGAGAGTGATAGAAGCAGAGACAATGAATGATCTAAAAGGAAATATTGGATGGAAATAAGTGAGGGAAATAAACTTCCAAGATAGAGCCTAGGTAATGGCATTGACTGGATTGCCCTATAGGGAGCTAGTTTGAATAAAATGGCCCATATAATCTTCAAATGTGCTATAACAAGATTCTGACTGTAATGTGTAAAAGTGAACCCCTGCTGATTGTCTCTGAAAATTCTGTCCTTTGTAATTGACTTAGGAGATTGTAGCTTGTAGACTGTGGCTCCCAACTCCAAATTCAATGTACAATAAAGGCAAGCATACTGAACGTCTTCTTCACTAACCTGTCTACCTGTTCTAAAGAAGAGTTCTCTGTATTTGTTTCAGATTTCCAACACCTGCAGTATTTTTCCTTTATTCAATGTATTGCACATCCCTGATGCATTGGTCACCTTCCTTGCACATTGTAAAGCACTGATCAACTTTTCCAAGACTGTTTGCACCAGCTCCTTCGGAGGGCTCGAGGATCAGTGAGCGAGCTGTTCATGCATTGTGTATTGATAAATTGTCCAGGCATTCTTCCTGCTTCACCTAGGAATGAAGAGTGCAGAATTCTGCAATAGTTTATTTACCAAATGCTGCCGCATTTTTATTGTTATTACTGGACCTTTTTCTGCATTTCTTCTCCAGTCTTGCTCAGTGGTAGCTATTATCATCGAGTCAGCAGTTTATGAGTTAGTAGCTCACTCCAGGAACTTGAGCACAGAATAAATGCACCAAATGGCGTTGCGGAACTGTCAGGGATCCTAGTTTACTCCCAGCTGAGACAGAGCAGTGGGAGGAAGGGAAAGGCAGAGTATTGATTAATGCAGCACCTGTATTTGAGGACATCCCAAAGCACCTTATAGCCAGCTATTTAAAATATAGAAAATGCTGTAAAAAGAAATGACATGTATCTGTTTGTACACAGTAAGATGACACAAAAACAGTATTGCAATAATGACCAGATGATGTGTCTCAGTGATTTGGGTTGAGGGATGAATATCGGTAAGGACAATTGAGAGAATTTTTTTTTTGTCATTTCATGGGGATGTAGGTGTTACTGGCAAGACCAATATTTCTTGCCTGTCCTTAATTGTCCTTGAGAAGGTGGTGTTGAGCTGCTTTCTTGAACTGCTGCAGTCCGTGGACTGCAGATACACTCTCAGTATTATTAGGAAGGAAGTTCCAGCATATTGACCCAGCAACACTGAAGGGAAGACAATATATTTCCAAGCCAGAATGTTCTGTGGCTTGGAGGAGAACTCATAGGTGGTGGCATTGCCATGCATTTGGCATTTGTTGCCCTTGTCCTCCTTGGTGGTACAGTTTGTGAGTTTGGAAGCTGCTGCCAAAGGACCTTTAATGGGTTACGGCAGTGCACCATGTAGAAGATACACTCTGCAGAACTATGCATGGTAGTGGAGGGAGTGAATGTTTATGGTGGTGAATGGGGCGCTGATGAAACGGGTTGCTTTGTCGAAGATGGTGTCAAGTGTCTTGAATGTTGCCAGAGTTAAGTATAAAAGTGTAGAAATCTCTGGCTCTTTTAAATAATGCCATTAGACATTTTACATCCACCAGAGAAGGTGGTTGTGAAAGTGTTCCAGTGTAAGGGCCACAGGAACTTAGCAAGGAGGTACCACAAGTAATTAAGCAGGTTAATAGAGTGCTATCCTTTATTATGAGAGGTATTGAGTATAAAAGTAATTCTGTTGTCCTTCAGGTGAGCAGGGCATTGGTGAGACCGCATCTCGAATATTGTGTGCAGTTTTGGTTTCCTCATTTAAGGAAGGATGTAAATGCACTGGAGGTGGTTCAGAGGAGGTTTACTGGGTTGATACCCAGAATGAGCAGGTCGTCTTATGAAGAAAGGGTGGATAAAGTTGGCTTGTTTTACCTGGAATCTGGAATAGTTGGGTGTTGATTTGTTTGAAGTTTATATGATCCTGTTTGGTCTTTGATAAGGTAGACATGGAAAATATGTTACCTGTTGTCTGGGTGAGCCCAGATTGGAGCTATTATTTTAAAATTAGGTCTGAACTTTTGGGACAGAGGTGAGACATTTTTTTTCTCTCTTAGATGGTTGTGTGAATTTGGAACGCACTACCTTAGAAGGTGATGAGGCAGGGTCATTGAATTTTTTTAACGCAGTGGTAGATAAGCACCTATTAGACAAAAGAATCAAAGGTTATTGGGAATAGTTGAGAATGTGGAAATCGGAACACAAACGGATCGGCCACGATCTTATTGAATAGTGGGATAGTCTTGAAGGGTTAAATGGCCTACATCTGCTCCCAATTTGTATCTTCATGTGTAACCTCAGTTTACCATCACAACCTGAAGATGCTGACAGTGCAGCGCTCCCTTAGTAGTAAGTTGAGGTCTCCGAAGTCCGACTAAGGGAATACACTGCTATCCAATTAGCCATGGCTAACTTTAAAAGAAACATTTTTAAAAAAAGGAGGATAGGCTCTTTGAGCCTGCTCCACCATTCAGTATGATCATGGCTGATCATCCAACTCAATCCCCTGTTCCCACATTCATCCCCAAACCTTTGGGCCCCTTTAGTCCTAAGAACTATATTTCCATCTGGAAAACATCCAATGTTTTGACCTCAATGGCTTTCTGTGGCAGAGAATTCCACAGGCTCACCAATCTCTGGCTGAAGACATTTCTCCTCATCTCAGACCTAAATGGCCTACCCAATATCCTTTAACTGTGGCCCGTGGTTCTGGATTCCTCTATCATTTGAGAACATCTTTCCGCCTCTACTCTGACTAGTCCTTTTAGAATTTTAGAAGTTTCTGTGAGATCCCCTCATTCTTCTAAACTCCAGTGAATATGGTCCTAACCAGTCCAGTCTCTCTTCATATGTCAATCCTGCCATCCCAGGAATCAGTCTGGTAAATCTCCAGTGCTTTTCTTCCATAGCCAGAACATCTCTCCTCAGATACAGAGACCAAAACTGTATGTAAATATTCCATGTGTGGTCTCAGCAAAGCCCTATTCAATTGCAGCAAGATGTCCCTACTCATATACTCAATCTCCTCTCACTTTGAAGGACAATATGCCATTTGCCTTCTTCACTGCCTGCTGCACCTGCATGCTTACTTTCAGGGCAATTTGTGTGAGGACATCTGTGTCTTGTTGCACCTCCCCATCACCATTCAGATAGTGGCTGCTTTGATGCTCGGTTATTAGTCTGTCATGGATAAGGTTGGAATTTGAACTCCCTGCTAGGAATTGCAAAACTGATTGACTTGTTTGAGACTTCATCTGTCAGGTCAAGAGGTTAAACCAACCGTGCAGAGTTCGGGTGGCTAATCCACGAGGGATTTTTCAGAGTGTTTGCTTTTGTTTCCTTAGGTTCCATCACCCCATCTTGAGCCCATTGGAGAGTAGCTTTCAGCTGGAGGTGGACGTACTGGCTCAGCTTCTGAAGGCACAGAATGAGATCAGTGAGTGGAAGTTCCTCCCGTCGCTACTGAACCTGCACAGCGCCCACTCCAAGCTGCAAAGCTGGGGACAGACTTTTGAGAAACAGCGGGAGACCCGGAAGCACTTATTCGGGGGCCAGACCCAGAAGGCCCTTCAACCGCCGCACCTCTTCCTGTGGCTGGCCAAGCTGAAGACCGCCCTGTTGGCCAAGTTCACCTTCTACTTCCACGAGGCACTGGGCCGCCAGACCACCCCGTCAGAAATGAAGGCCTTGACCGCAAAGACCAATCCGGATTACTGTGGCAAGATCTCCAGCTTTATTCGCAAGTATGACGCCGAGAATGTCTCGCTGATATTCGACAACAGGGGCTCCGAGACTTTCCAAGGGCACGGATACCACCACCCGCACTCATACAGGGAAGCCCCCAAGGGGGTTGATCAATACCCGGCTGTTGTTTCCTTGCCCACTGACCGGCCCCTAATACACTGGCCCAACGTGATCATGATCATGACGGATCGAGCAGCAGAACTGAACACTTTGGACAAAGTCGTCCATTTTTACGACGACAAGGTACAGAGCACTTACTTCCTGACACGCCCCGAGCCCCAGTTCACCATTGTGGTCATCTTCGACTCCAGGAAGTCTGAGAAAGACTCCCACCTTCTCTCCTTCCTCAATGAGCTCTCCAGCTCCCTGAAGAACTCCAAGCCGTTTGCCAGCTTGAAGCCAGGGTCGAAAAACTGAAGCCAACAGCTGTCGTCCCAGTAAATGCATCACTAATGATGAAACAAGGATGGCAGGAGGTGGATTCCGCTGGCAGTGGATTCCAGAGTAATTTTCCAGACTTCAGTCAAGTCTCCATCCATTACTGTTGGGGGAACTGGGACTCCAGTAATTGTTTCAGTCTTTGGGATGTTGAGTCCCATAACTCGCACCCAGCTAAGAATTGCACAGACTATGTTTACTATGAATGATTGCAGTAATGTCAATGCTAATGCTAACTGATATGAGGATACCTTACAAATATGAAATAAAACACTTGAATTCAGTGCGAAGGTTGAGCTTTAATACTGTTTGTTATTGGAAAAGTGTTTGAACATATTGACGGGCAAGAAACTCCATCTTGGCACAATATGAAGTCTTGGACTCGATCTCAACCAGAGGGTCTCAATATCTTATTGATTCTGAATTACCCACTCCAATTTTCAAAAAAATTGTTCACGGGATGTGGGTATCACAGGCTGGGTTGGCATTTGTTGTCCATCACTAATTGCTCTGGAGAAGGTGGTGGTAAGTTTTCGTCTTGTATCACTGCAGCCCATTTGGTGAATGCTCACCCAGTGTGATATTAGGGAGGGAGTTCCCAGGATTTTGATCCAGTGACACTAAAGGTACAGCGATGTATTTCTAAGTCAAGATGGTGAGTGACTTAGAGGAGAACCTGCAGGTCGTGCTGCTCCTGTGTATCTGTTACCCTTGTTCTTCTAGGTCACAGTGGTCATGGGTTTGGAAGGTGCTGTCCAAGGAGCCTTGGTAAAATTGTGCAGTGCATCTTGTAAATGGTACACAGTGCTGCTCCTGTGAATCTGTGTTGGAGGGGATGAATGTTTGGGGATGTGGTGCCAATCAAGCAGGCTGCTTTGTTCTTGATGCATATTTCTTGAGTATCGTTGAAACTGTACTCATCCAGGCATGTAGAGATAGTACAAACCTGGCTGATGCTGATGGACAGGCACATGGGGAGTCAGAAGGTGTGTTAACTCACTGCAGGATTCCTAGTCTCCGCCCTGCTCTTATAGCCACAGTATTTACATGGCAGGTCCAGTTCCGTTTCTGTTTCTGATCAGTGGTAACCTCCACGCTGTTGTATTCAGCAATATTCAAGTTCTCCACAATTGAATGGGCAAGACTGGTGTTGAGTTCATCAGAAGCCAAGCACTTTCCCTAAGAGAAAGATACTAATATCATGTAAAAACGTCACTCTGCTTGTGCAATATGCACAAGGGTACTCTTTAATGAAGGGTGCAGGAGGGCATGTTAGGGGCAACATGAGGTATATATGAAAATGAAACAAAATCAGGAACTTTGTGCACTAGCAACATCTATGGAGAGAGAAAGGGAGTTAATATTTTGAACCTAATATGAGTCATTGGAGCAGAAGAGAGGGGGAATTATTTATTATAATTTGCTTTCATAAATATATACTTATTCTTATATATATTTATAAATATTATGCTGTTGAAAAAGGAGGAAGGGCCTGAAGAACCAATGGGAAGGGCAAAGTATGGTTAGAAGGTGGGAGACATTAAATAACACAGATGTAATAGAACAAAACACAAAGGGACAGGTCATGGGAGTAATAAAGAACAAAACTCTGATCCAGAGTAGCTGTAAACATCAAAATAAAGGTCAGCTCTGCCTGAAAGTAAAGTCATGATTCAGGGTGGAGACTGGTCCTTGGCACAGAAAATACTGGACTCAGTGGGAGTTAGGAGAAAGCTCTGTGGTGGTTGAAGTCATTTGGAGCACAAAAAGAAGATGGTTGTAGTTGTTGAGGGTTGTCCCAGTCTCAAGACACTGCCACAGGACTTCCTCAAGGTAGTGTCCTAGGCTCAACCAACTTCAGCTACTTTATCATTGACCTTCCCTCTCTTGTAGGACCAGAGGTGAGGGTGTTCACTGATGACTGTCAAATGCTCAGTACTGTTCATGACTCTTCGTGAATCCGTACATGTCCATGTGCAGCAAGACCTGGACAGCATTCAGGCATGGGCTGATAACTGGTAAGTAATATTTGAACCGCACAAGTGTCAGGCAGTGACCATTACCCAATAAGAGAAAAGCTAACCATTGGCATTCAACACCATCATTGTCACAGAATCTCCCACTGTCAATATCCTGCAGGTTGCCATTGGCCCCCAACTATACTGGATCTGGCATATAAACACCATGGTTACAACTTAGGGAATTCTGTGCTAGATGACTTGCCTCCTGTTACTCCAAAGCCTGGACATCACCTACAAGGTACAAGTCAAGAGTGTGATGGGGGTACTCTCCACTTTCCTGGATGAGGGCAGCAAAACTCAAGCTTGACGCCACCAGGACAAAGAAGCTAAGGTGACTCGCTTCCACGGGTGCACAGTAGCAGTAGTGTGTATCATCTACAAGATGCATTGTAGCAACTCACTCAGACAACACCTTCCAAACTCTCCACTGCCTAGAAAGACAAAGGTAGCAGATAAATGCAAACACCGGCACCTGTAAGCCACACACCAGTCTGACTTTGAAGTAAATTGCTGTTCCTTCAGTGTCCTTATCTCAGCCTATAGTTACATGCTACTTATCTCCTTCCTTTTTTAAAAGGTGTTACATTGCAGTTTTCCAATTCTCTGGAACTTTTCCAGAATCAAGGATTCCTTGAAGATCAGTGCATCCACTGCCTTTGTAGCTACTTTTGATACCTAGTATGCATCCCATCAGGCCCAGAGGATTAATCGGTTTTTAGCCTCATTAAGTTTCTCTAGCACTTCTCTTTAATTTGCTCTCCTCCTTTTGCCTCTTGATTATTTAGTAATCTGGGAATGCTATTAGTGTCTGCTACCATGAAGACTGATGCAAAGCATTTATTCAACTCCTCTGCCATTTCCTGGTTCCCCATGATTATTTTCTCCTTGTTTTCTGGATGTCATCTTTGGCTGCTCTCTTCCTTTTTGTACATTTAAAGAAGCTTTTGCTGTCCATCTTGATGTTAGTTGCAAGTTTGCTCTCAATTTTTTTCTTCTTCCTCGTCTAAGCATCTTTTGTTGGTTTTCAAAATTTTCCCAGTCCTCTGTCTGACAATTAATCCGTGCCACACTGTCTGCTCTTTCATCCCTAACTTCCATGGTTAACCATGGTTGGGTTATCCCCTTCTTTCATGAGGTTAAAATCATGACTTTACAGATCTGCATCCTCTATGAAATCTTCCTGTTCCCTCATTCTCTTGAGACTTTTTTGATTTGTAGCTATAGATCTTGTTTGTTTTTTTTCTGAAAATACACTCTATTCACATTTATCTAGTACTTTATCAAATTGTTTACTCATTGAGTGTGCCTATTCTCAACAGAATCTTGACTAATTTTTTTTATGCAGCATTTGTTTCCCTTAGTTTAAACATTCCCTGCCTTATTAATGTCTTTTCGGAGCTCTCATGACTGCCTCCTGCCATTATTGGCTAGACTGACTATCACTGTCACCAGATCCTTCTGTATTTAGCTCATTTGTTCCTTGTTGGTTTGTAACTCCCCTTCCTCCCTCATCCCAACCCAATTCCCTACCTTTAATAAACCTAAGTAGTTCTCTGTCCTCACATGTAATGTAAAGAAGAGTGAACTGGTCACCAGCCCCTGAGGCATGTGCTCCAATTGGCATCAACTGTAGCAGCAGCTCATTCAACTAAACATTGCCTCTGTCAGCCTTTCTTTCCAAAAATGTATACTATTCATAAAATTTGTAAGAGTGCATTACAAAAAAGTTCGTTAAAGTGCTATAAAATTCAACTTTTCTCCATACAGCGTGTTCCCCTCTTACATGCCTCAATAAAATTGAAATAATCTTAATACTTACATCATACATCCCATGTCAGGAACACAGGCTGAGGCAAAATAATTCAAATTGAAAACTAGTTAAAGTGCAGTAGAAATAAATCTTTCCCTGTATGCCACGTTCCACTCGGATACGCCTCAGTAGTATTCCACTGCTCTTGATGTTCACTGTGTACATTCTTTGTCAGGCATGCATCATGAAGTGTTCTATAAGCTACCAGCACCTTGGTGTACTATGGCTGAAAGGCCTTTGACAGTTACCCTGCTCTATTGCACCTCTGTGGTAGTTTCTCTCAGTTTTAATACATTGCCGAATGTGAGAAGTGTTAGAGGAGATAACTGAAGGCATGGTTGAAGTAATAGATTTGAAGAAAGATACCATTGTAGCCAACAATGATTGCCCATCCCTAGTTGCCCAGACTGCAGTTAAGCATTAACCATGTTGCTGTGGGTCTGGAGTCAAATGTAGGCCAGGCCAAGTAAGGATGGCAGTTTCCTTCTCGAAAAGGACATTAGTGAACCAGATGGATTTTTTCCCCAACAATGGATTCATGGTCATGGATTAGACTCTTAATTCCAGGTTTTTTTTTTATTCAATTCAAATTCCATTATCTGCTGTGGTGGGATTTGAACTAGGTCCCTAGAATGTTACCTGGTTCTCTGGATTAACAGTACAGCAATAATACCACTAGGCCATTGCAATCCCACCCCCAGTTGCTGCTGTTGACATCTGGCCAACTGCCCCAACCCACGCCGACCTCCCAAGCACTCAGTTGCTGTGACAACATAAATGTTTACAGGCATGCTGTATCTTGAATTTATGGATGTTTGTGGTAAATCATGCTGGACTTTACAGGCCGGATGTGGAAAGGTCATTTCTTCTGATGGGAGAATCTAGAACTAGAGGTTACTGTTTTAAAAAAAAAATAGGAGTCACACTTTTAAGACAGAGATCAAGAGAAATAGTTTATCTCAGAGGGTTGTGAATCTTTGGAACATCTTTCCTCAAAAGGCAGTGGAGGCAGAGTCTTTGTATAATTTTAACACAGATTCCTGATAAGCAAAGGGGTGAAAGGGTATTGGAGTGAGGTAGGATTATGAAGGTGAGGTTCAAAGATCAGCCATGATCTTACTGTATATTGGAGGGTTAGGGTCAGGCTGGAGGGGCCAAGGGACCCACTCCTCCTAATTCATGCATTCATAGAGGCTCCAACTTCTGTTTAATCACAGCACTAACCAGGAATCTCTCTCGATCTTGGGGCTTGTCATTGACATGTATGTCGGAAGGACTTGCAGATACTCAGGCTGTTTGGTGGGGTCATGAATACACCTTCCTTGACCGTTAAGTTCTGGAGTGATACTTGGTTGTGAAGATTCTGCTGGGAGGCAGGATTGGTACCCAATGCGCAATAAGACCTTCTCAATGGCAATGCCATTTTCACAAATACACCCGAACCTCGTTGTCTGAGCTC